AAATAATGGTAATAATAATAATAAGTTTTTTTTTTTTAAACGAGTTATAAAAATTAATAATTTTCAGTCTTTTATTATTATTATTATTATTATTATTATTATTATTATTATTATTATTATTATTATTATTATTATTAATAATTATTAAATATAATAATTCATTTAACGCGAACGGGGGGGGGGATTTATTAAACGTAATTTTTTGTTTCGGAAAGTTTAAAATTTAAAAAAAAAAAGAAAAAAAATTAACAAAAACGACTTTGAAAACTTTATTATTATTATCAGTATCATTATCATCATCATCATCATCATTATTATTATTATTATTATTAATATTATTATTATTACGACGGTATTATTAAATAAATAAATAAGATAAAAAAAAAACGGACACGTACTTATTATTATTATTACGGTAATAATTAATTTTTTCGTTATTAAAAGATGACGACGACGACGACAAAAAAATTATCATTATTATCATCATTATTTGGACGGGGGGCGGGCGGTGGGGAAATCGTCGTTCGTTATTTAAAATTACGAATTTTGATAATGAATATATATAAACAACGTCAGTTGGTATCACGTAAATTAATAATTATCAAATCGGAAAATTTTTTTTTTTTGTGAGGGGCAGTGGGGAGAGTGATGGGGAGCGAAGGAGGGGGGGGCTTTAAGGTAAATTGAATATTGTTAATTATTTTTAATAATTCCAGCGGCAAAAAAAAACCATAATAAACTCTTGATTTAATTTGTGTTTTGGTTTTTGTATTTTTTTTTTTTGGGGGGGGCTGGAATTTTCTCTTTTTGCTGAAGTTTCAAATTTTTTTTTTTTGGGGGGAGGCTGAAATTTTGAATATGATATGAAATGGAATAACGTACGCACGTTTCTTTTTAATTGTTATTAAAAAAAAAGAAAAAAAATTATATTCCAGGTGTAAAATACGTTATGTTTGGGGAGCAGTGGGAGGAGGTGGGAGGAGGGGAGGGAGGTAAATTATGTTGCATATGACGTGGTCGGTCGGTTATTGCACATCATTAAAAAAAAAAATCATTTTTTCGTCTGCCGCCACGAACAACAACAATTAATTTTTATTTTTATTTTTTTTCTGGAAAAACGTGTATCTTTTCTTTCCCTTTCCCAAACTGACCCCTCCCTCCTCCCCCCATTTAAAAAAAAATTTTTTTTTTGCATTCATCTCCCCCTTTTTTTTTAAAAATGGCAGTTGAATATGTAAAATTTTACCGTTTAGAAAATTATCCAGCACACGTTTTTTTTTTAAAAACTTTTTTTTCCATAACTTTTCCAGTTTTTTTTTGGGAAATTTTCCTTTTTGTTTTTGGCAATTTTCTTTTCTGGCGAAAACTCCCCGCTATTTTCATGATAATTTTTTCTTTTTTTTAACTCGAAATAATAATAATAATAATAGTTATTTAATAAAGTCCGAATGTGGGGGGAAAAGAAGAAGAAACGGCGGATATTAAAAGGATAAAAATCATTGAAAAGAAAATTTTTTTTGTTACAATTCGAAAAAAAAGAAAATCTCAAAATTTATTTTCCTTAATCCCCCAACCACCCCCTCCCCCCTCGGTTAGATAATAATAATAATAATAAATTTTATTTATTTTTTCTTAAGTGAGTTTTCCAGGACGTAATTATAATTTCTTTACTCGTATTATATATATTTTCCGGTATTGTATTTCGTTAAAAATATATATTGAATTGAGAAAATATAAATTTTTTTTTTTTAATAAAAATTACCCATTTTTATTTCATCCGCCATTTTACTTACCTTTAATAAAAATTTATTTAATTAATAAATTAAAAAAAATTTTCGACAAGGATTGTTTTAACAAAAGCCCATGCAAACAAACAAACACAAGCACAACATCAATGTAAAAATTTTTTTTGTTTATCGATGATACTTTTTGAATTTTGACCACTTGCACCACCCCCACCACCATCACCATTACCGCCCCCTGCACCACCTGCACCACCGCCACATTTTATTAAACAATATATGTTAACAATTTAATTAAAATTAATTTTTTTATTTTTTATTTTTACGACGACAAAAAAATGATGAGTGTATTTATTATATTACTTTGGTAGGAAATGACGTATTATTTATTTTCATTAGAATCCTTTTCGTGTTATTATCATTATTATCACTATTATTATTATTATTATCAACGTGACGTTGTGAAAAAATAAAAATAAATTCGAAAATTGCTATAAATTACCCGAAATAAATTTATATATAAAAATTTTTTTTTTCCTATTACACCGTCGCAACAATAATTATTTTTACTTAAAAAACTTTTTTCCTTTTTTATTCGGGGAGAAGGGGAGTAGGGGGAGGTGGGGGGACGAGATGAGAATAAAAAAAATTTTCAAACTTTTGTTGTTGTCGTCGTTAATAATAATAAATTTTTTGGATATTTGCTATCTTATTCGCTAAAAGGTTTTTTTTTTGTACTCCGGACACAAAAAGACAAAAAATTATTACGATCTTTTCGGAAAATGTTTTTTCGGTTATTTGATATTATTGTAAATAAAAGAAAAGAGCTTTAACGTTTTTCACAAAAAAAAAATAATCTGGATACGACCCTGGAATAATAGTAATAATAACGATCGACTTCATTTAAAAAAAATAAAAAATTTTTATTATGAATCGTCTTCCGTACGATTTCTCAACGGTTCTCTAACCCCCCCCCCCTTTGGTTTCCTAACCCTCCCCACACCGACTTATTAACATATCGTTAAACCGGAAATGACGTATTTAAAAAATTAAAAACAAATCGATGACGTTTAATATTTATAATCAATCGATAAATTTTACAAAAAAAAAATTAACTTTTTTGATTTCTATTATTTCTATTATTATTATCATTATCATTATTATTATTATTTAACATTATTAATTAATTAATTAATTAATTATAATTAATATATATAATTTTTTTTTTCACGATCAATTTATTTATTTATTTATATATACATATAAACAATAATAATATAAAAAAATTTTTTTTTTTTGTGTTTTGTTTTAAAGAAACGTAACTTACGATGAATAAGAATGGTAAAGAAATGTCGTTTAAGACAAAGATAGAAAATAAATATGTGCGTGTGTGTGTGTGTGTGTGTGTAGAAAAAAGAGAGAGAGAAAAAATAGAAACAAACGAATGATTTTACATACCTCTTCCAAATATTTGAAATATAATAATAATAATTAATATATAATTAATGATAAAATGAAAAATTCGATTGTCTCTTGTATTATTATTATCACTATAGTTAACCGTATTATTATTGTTATTGCTATTATTATTATTATTATTATTATCGTTAGTCTGAACAGGGACCACAAAGATTTTTTTTCTTAGTCGCTGCATTCAATGCAAATGAAGGATTCAAACAATACCTTTTCCGTTCCTGTATAAGACCTAATCTACATCCGTTGTCTAAAGCTATTTGTATTTGACTCCTCGTTGCTTTTATGTTATAATTTTCCTGTAAGCACCTCCTTATTTTTTCCGGCGTGGCGGATTTGAAATTTTCCGATGCGACTAATATATCCGGTAATAATTCGTTTATCGTTTCTTCTTCGCTATCATCATCGTATGTTGAATGTTTACGTTTTCTATTGGCCATTTTTTTTTTTTTTTTTATTTATATATATATATATATATTTTTTTTTTAAATTTTATTTTAAATTTTAATTTAATTTAAATTTAAATTTTAACTTTTATTTTTTTTTTATTTTTTTTTTTTTTGTCACACTTGAAAATTTCGATGATTTAAAAATCCTTTTTTTTTTTTTTCGAAAATTGTTGTTGTTGTTGTTGTTGTTAATAAATACAAATATGACCGAATACACAAAAAAAAATGTTAAAAACAAAACAGAGTGGTGGGAGGGAGGGAAACGGGGGAGGGGAGGAGGAGAGGCGGGAAGAGGAGGAGGAGGAGGAGAAAACAAAGGAAAAAAATTGTAAACATCATTATCATCATCATCATATGTTTTAAACAAGTTTTTCTTTTTTTTTTTTTTCCCTTCATAATTATTATTATTATTATTTTTTCGAATTTAAATTATGGAAAATAAGAATATGGAAATTTAGAATTATTTATTTTACACGTGGAATTATTTAAATAATAATAATAATTATAATAATTTTATTACGAATTTTTTTTTAAACGTTAAAAACGAAAAAAAAATTTTTTTTGCAACAAATTGACTCGCTGTTGTTGTTTATTATTTATTATTATTATTATTATTATTATTATTATTATCATCATCATCATCATCATCGCAAACGTCAGAAATTTTATTTTTTTATTAAATTATCTGTTGTAAATTTTTTTTTTTTTTACCACCGCCGCCATATTTCCTAAAACGTCAGTTAAAAAATTTTTCCACACTTACACACTCACTCTATTCCCCAAATTTATTATCTTGTAACTTTTTTTTTATTAAAAAAGGAAAAAAGGAAAAAGGAAAAACTTTTTTTTTTCCCGTGAAAACAGGAAATTGGAAAAAAAAGTGGGAGCCTTAATAATAATAATAATGATAATTTTATTTTATTTTGACAGGTAAAATTAGAATGAATAAAATATTAATAATTTTACTTCTGGTTATAACTTTACATCGATCACAAAGTCATGCCATATATGCCATTTCCGGTTTGAAAAATTCAGATAACGGAAATTCTAAAAGGTTTCAATCGTCGGAAGGTAATTATTAATTTTATTACCCTTGTGACAAAAGGTCATCGTGAGGTCAGGTTTTGTTGGTGACCGAATCGCCTTTTTAACTTTTTACAAAGTCCCCCCCCTTTTCCTCCCCTTTTCTCCCCTTCATCGTGTCACCCCCTGGTGATTTTTATTATTAAATAAAAAGTTTGAAACTTCGGAAAATTTTTTTTTTAAAAATTAAATTAATAATAATAATAATAATAACGAAATAAATTTTTTTCTATTAGAATTTGATGGTCCTTTGGAATTTTATACGAAACCGAACGGAGACAACAATAATGAAAAATACACTCGGATATTGATTAATAAAAGAACCGGAAATGACGTACTCACGAGAAGAAGCATATTAGATAAAAATTTTATGAGATTTGGAAGAAATGCTGGAAGAAGTGGGGGACCCTCGGAAATGGAACAAGAATCGAACATGAAAGATTTTTCCAGGTTTAACAGAGGGATGAAAGATAGTTTTATAAGGTTCGGTAGAGGAACTCAGGATAGTTTTATAAGATTTGGAAAATCAATTAAAAAATTGGAAATGTATCCGTTCGACGAATCGAATTCAAATTTAAATGATGATAATAATAATTATTTACGTAGTGGAAAAAGCGCGCGAGAAAGTTTTATACGTTTTGGAAAAAGGGATTCAAATTTTATGAGATTCGGACGTGGAAAATTAAAAAAAAAATTATTAAAATGTAATAAAAAATTTGGAAAATATCATCGGGATTGTTATTATTTGTCGTTCGAAACTGGAATCGGAAAATCCGATCGTTTTCCAGATCCTTTCGAAAGATTTGGAGAATTTAGACCGCCGGATAATAATAATAATAATAATTTATTAATCATGTCGTCGCCATTTTTTCCCGATTACGAATCGAATGAAAAAAACGAGTCGATTTCAAAATTGAAAAACGATGATCAATTTTCTCCAGTCGATGATGATGATGTTAAGGAATACTATCACGATGATGATGATAATAATAATAACATCATGAGAATGAAAAGGAAAACATTGAATGGTGGAAATAATAATAATATTAATAACACGAATAAAAAAAATCATGATGATAGAATCGTTGTTGATGAGAAATTGGATGGGAAAATGAAAAAAAAAAGAGAAGACGACGACGATTGGAAAATTCCAGAGGATGACGTCATCATTTCTCCAAATTATTATTTTAAAAAATACCCGGAATATTTTCCGAAAAAATTTTCACGGATTCATAATTTGAAATATTTAACGGATTTTGGAAACGTGAAATTTCACAACAAGTTAACTCCGCCATTTTTTCCAGTTTCGACAAATTTTTAACGTGGAAAAATTTCCCGCAGGGAAAGGGAAGGAGGAGAAGGGGGTGAGGAAGAGGGAAGGGAAAGGGGAGGGGAAGAAAAGGGTGAAAAAAAAATTGTTTGTATGTAAACATCGAAATATATTTATTTAACAAAAATTTATGTATTATTAAATTTAATAAATTATAAAAATAAATATTATTTATTATTATTATTATTATTATTATTACTATTTATCCTTCTTTCGAAATCTTTATCGTGATAATAATAATAATAATAATAATTACGTATTATTACGCAGGTAAGTTGTAAATACGGTTTATAAATTGTCTACGACGAAATATAATATTTTTATTAAAAATAATGGTTTTAACACCTTTCGTTCGAACAAACAAGCAAACAAACAAACAAAGGCAAACAAACACGTAAAAGGGAAATTTTTTTTAAAGGAAGGAAGTCGCGTGGGGAAGGAGTTTACATTAACTACGACATTTCATTCACGTCCCGAAAATATATTAAAAAAAAAAAAAAAAATTCAACGACTTTGAAAGGAAACCTTTGAAATTTTTTAAAAACCTAAACCAAGGACGAATTTTCCCCCTACCCCCTCCCTATTCCCTCCCTTCCCATTTACCCTTTCGATTAATTATTATCATTATTATAAAATTTCGTTGAGGGATCGACATTTATCGTCGTTTCCGGTTTTTCTCCCTTTAAATTACAAAAAAATTTTAATTTATTTATAAGGGGATGTTAAAAAATAATAATAATATTTTTTTAGTAATAGAAAAAAAAATTGGATGTAAATGTTCGGTGGGGAGGGGGGCGGAGGGAATTTTTGGGAAACCCCTCGTTAATAAAAAACCTTTAATGAGCTTAAAGACTTTTTTTTTTTTTGTAAAGTTGTTGCTAAATTTTAACAATTTTAATAAATTATTTAGTCGTTCGGACATTTTTTTTTTAACTTGTTCTTCCGTTTTTTTTTTTGGCGAAGAATTATTACATCGAACGTGTTATTAATTAATAATTAATAATTAAATAATAATAATAATTTTTTTTGTAAAACGAAAATGAAAGTGACGGAATCAAGAGAAGAACTTTTTAAGAAATCCATCGAAGATCTCGAAGATTCTTGCGATTATAACTTATCCGCATTAGCAGAAACATTTTTAACACCGACAGAAAAAAAATTTTTATTATGTGCCGAAAAAGGAGATATACCAACTTTGAGAAGGTTTGTATCATTCAACCTTAGAATAAATTCTAGAATGTTCTAGAATATCAATCCGTTATCAATTACCAAAAAAAATTTTAAATTTATTTTAATTATTTATTTCACATAATATACACTAAAAAATAATCTTAACCCTTACAAAATTTATATACTCGAGTCGTAATTTAAAAAAAAAAAATGACGTCATATCCGTGACGTCTTAAATTTATATAAATGACTACAAATAAGATTACGTCTAACCGAAAAGAATTCACCAAAGAATTATTCTTTAAAAATAAAAAAAATAAAAACTTTTCCTCAAAAAAAAATTTTTTTTTTTTTAAATTCAAAAAAACTGGAATTTTTTCCCATAAGTTAAACATAAGTAGTAAAATGAAGAAAAGTAAGTGATGATGATGATGATGATGATATTTTTAACGTAGGCATTTCTTATTATTCTCTGGAGTATATACAGAAAAAGAAAAAAATGAAAAAAAGAAAACCGGAAAAATATATCACGGATTACCCTACCTCCCCTTCTACCTCCTCCGCCTCCTCGTCATCCGCCTTCGCGTCAGCCGAGAAAATTCTGAAAGTGTTTGTTTTTTTTTTTCACAATGGGAATTATTATTATTATTTTATAATAATAATTTTGGATTTTTCCGTAAAAGTATATAATTTTAATTTATATGTTTAGCTTATTGATACAATTCGAAGATCGACCCGATGAACTTAACATTAATTGCACGGATTCGTTAAGAAGGTCAGCTTTGGTGACCGCCATTGAAAATGAAAATATGGATTTGATAAAATTTTTATTGAAATCAAACATAAAAGTTAAAGATGCACTTCTTCATGCTATCAAAGAAGAATTCGTCGAAGCCGTAGAAGTTTTATTAGAATGGGAAGAAAAAATACACGTTGATGGAGAACCATACGTAAGTTGTTCCGGATCGACGCCATTTTAACGTAATAGCGAAGGACGACGTTTAACCTTTTTTATTAAAACCGGAACCGGAACGTCGTTTTTCTTCCACGTCCAAACAACTCCCTAATATATAAAAAATTTTCCAAAGGATGTTGTAATTTTACTTTTATTACTTTTTTTTTTGTGGTATCACACAGAGTTGGGAAGCAGTCGATTCTGCATCGGCAACTTTCACACCAGATATCACACCTCTTATTTTGGCAGCTCATACTAATAATTATGAAATATTAAAAATATTACTCGACAGGGGTGCCACATTACCAAGACCGCATAACGTGAGGTAAGACGAAAGTGTGGCAAAAAAATTACCTATTGTCACGTGATTTACTCTTTCCCCCCGCCATGCCACACCGTGGGAAATTATTTTTCCTAAAATTTTGACGTCATATTTTCCATCCAGGTGCGGATGCGATGAATGTCTTGCATCTTCCGAAGCAGATTCGCTCAGGCATTCGCAAGCTAGGATCAATGCATACAAAGCATTAAGTTCATCATCTTTGATATCATTATCGTCACGTGATCCATTACTAACAGCTTTCGAATTGTCGTGGGAATTGAAAAATTTGAGTTATTGCGAAGCTGAATATCGATCGGAGTATAATGTTAATATCAGTCGTTACGACAACAAACGACAAACGACAACAAACGAAATTAAAAAGAAAATTTTTTTTAACAGGAAATGAGACAAGCTACTCAAGATTTTGCAACAGCTCTTTTAGACCATGCAAGAACATCAGGCGAATTGGAAGTCATGTTAAATTATAATCCAAACGGTGATATTTGGGAACCTGGAGAAAGACACACGCTGGAAAGATTAAAATTGGCCATTAAATACAAACAGAAAAAGGTTTTACTTTACTTTTTTTTTTTTTTTTATACAAAATTTATCACCAGGAAAATTTTTATTTGTTTTTCTTTTGTAGTTTGTTGCTCATCCGAACGTTCAACAACTTTTAGCATCGATATGGTACGATGGTTTACCAGGTTTCCGTAGGAAAAGTACAGTGAGACAAATAACTGACGTTCTCAAGTTGGCTTGCCTGTTTCCCTTTTACAGTTGCATTTATATGATAGCACCAAATTCTAAAATGGGTCTCTTCGTTAAAAAACCTTTCGTTAAATTTATTTTTCATTCATCATCTTATGCATTCTTTCTACGTAAGTCCTCCTCCCCTCTACCTTAGTCCTGTACCAAGAAAAAAAGAAATTATTTAACGCCATTTTGTTATACAGTCTTGTTAGGTTTGGCTTCTCAGAGAGCAGAAAACACATTTTTAGAATTGTTAGCCATGGAAATCGAATGGTTACATGACGTATTAGCCGAATGGAAAAGAAAAGAAAGAGGATCGTGGCCTGGAGTGGTCGAAAGTGCTCTTTATCTTTACATTATAAGTAAGTACCTGATCGTGTACAACCGACAAACACTCGAATCATGCACGAACCTTCTTCTCGTTTAGGTTTAATATATAGCGAAGTGAGAGCACTTTGGACAAACGGTTTAAAAGAATACATGGCGGATTTGTGGAACATTGTAGATTTCATAACAAATTGTTTTTATCTCGTTTGGATTGGTTTGAGATTTACCGCCATTTATATCGTCATGGTGAGATTTGATTTGTTCAAATTTACTTTTTATTATAATAATAATAATAATAATAATTGTTTTGTTTAAACGATGCTTAGAGAGAATCGAATTTAGGACTCGATCCGTATATACCCCGAGAACAGTGGCATCCGTTTGATCCGATGTTGTTATCAGAAGGTGCATTTGCCGGTGGAATGATATTAAGGTACCTTAAACCTTTTTTTTTTTTTTAAATTGTAGGAAATAGTTTTAATTATTATTTATTTTTCCAGTTTTTTAAAATTGGTACACGTGTTCAGTGTGAATCCTCATCTCGGGCCGCTACAAATATCACTCGGAAGAATGATAATAGACATATTGAAATTTTTTTTTATATACATGTTGGTACTCGTGGCTTTCGGTTGTGGTATTAATCAATTACTATGGTATTATTCGAATTTGGAAAAGGTTAAATGTTTCGGAGAGGATGGAACGCTGGAACCTGATTTCGATAATAATGAAAAAGCTTGTACAGTTTGGAGAAGATTCGCAAAGTAAAATTTTCTTTTTTTAGAGTAAATTTTCCAAAACGATTTTCTTTTTCCTAAAATTTTTGTTTGTTTGTTTGTTTAGCCTTTTCGAAACATCTCAATCGTTATTTTGGGCATCTTTCGGTTTGGTTGATTTAACATCATTCGATTTAGTCGGTATAAATAGTTTTACGAGATTTTGGAGTCTTTTACTTTTCGGTTGTTATTCCGTCATCAACATAATTGTTCTTTTAAACATGTTGATTGCCATGATGTCAAATTCATATCAAATCATATCGGTTTGTCATGATCGAATAAAACGGTGGGGGGGGGAAGAAAGAATAATAATAATAATTTTGCGGTATTTTAATTTTTCAGGAAAGATCCGATATCGAATGGAAATTTGCTAGGAGTCATTTATGGATGAGTTATTTCGATGATGGGGACACACTACCGCCGCCATTTAATTTACTACCGACAATGAAAACATTATTAAGAATATTTAAAACGGAAAAAAATCTCACAGCGGATTCTTTTAAGGTATTGTCGACTGATTTTTTTTTCTTTTGACGACAACAACAGCAAAATCTCTCTTTAATCTATAGGTCAAATCGATGGACAAAGCTCGAAAACGTCACGAATTGGTTATGAACAATTTAATTGCACGATACGTAACGGCTGAACAACGAAAGAGATGCGATTATGGTATAACGGAAGATGACGTCATAGAAATAAGACAGGATATATCGTCTTTAAGATATGAATTAGTACATATATTAAGAGCGAACGGAATGAAAACGCCGGAAATGAATCCGGATCAAAATTTAGGTTAAATTTTTTTTCTCTCTCTTTTTCCCTTCCCCTCCCCCTCTTTCCCCCCTTTTCCCCAACGAAATTAATTGTTATTAATATTTACTCTCAACCTCGCACAACAAAAAGAAGATTTTATTATTGAATACGAAAAGAGAAAAAAAAAAAAAAAAACGTGACACCAAGTTCAAACTTTTATCTTTTTCTTTTTTTTTGCCGTAATTATTATTATTATTATTAATTTAGTTATGTAATTTTTTTATACGTCATCGTAATGATCCGTTCAAAGCTTTATTTATCCCATTTTTTTTTTAAAATGTTTAATTAATAATAATAATAATAATTATTACCGACGACATAACTAATTTCTATCCGGTTTTTGTCTTTTTTAGTGACCAAAAAGGGAAAAATAATGGAAAGACGGTTGGAGAAAGATTTTAGAATTGGAATTGTCGAAGGAATAATTCATGAATTTTTATCATCCGATAAAGATTCGTTAGACATATTTGGTAAAATAGCAAAAGTATTTAATAGAAAACGAAACAAATCTAAAAAACAAGATTGGAATACCATAGTCCGAAAATCGAGTTATCAGAAAAATTTAATCGGATCCTCGGAAGAAAGAAGAGAAAGATTGGCCAAACAAAGCGTTCGAAGGTTTATTATTATTATCATTATGTACATGTCAGTTGGTGTAAAAGAGAAAAAAATACAAATAAATATTTTCAGGTACATCATCGAAAAACTTTCAAGTTCCGAAGCTTTGGATCCTGAAAAACTTGTCCAATATAATCCTCAACTTTTACAAATGGCTCCGGCTGCTCGTATTGCTTACACGAAATTTAGCAGAATTAAAATAACTCGAGAATTTGCAGAACAAGAAAAAATAATCAACGAAGAAATTGAAGAAGAAAAACATGCGGAAGAATTGGTAAAATTAACACATTCTTCGACGGTAGGTAAAGTTTTCAATCGCGTTACAAATTTTTTATATATATTGTCAGGCAAAAGCAGAAGCTAAAAAAAAAGAAGAAGAAAGGAAAAGAGAAGAAGAAGAAAAGAAGAAAAAAGAAGAAGAAGAAGAAGGAAAGAAAGAAGAAGAAGAAGGAAAGAAAGAAGAAGAAGAGAAGAAAGAAGAAGAAGAGAAGAAAGAAGAAGAAGAGAAGAAAGAAGAAGAGAAGAAAGAAGAAGAGAAGAAAGAAGAAGAGGAGGAAAGAAAGAAAGACGAAGAACAACCACCAAATGATACTACAGACTTTTCCATAGTCAGACCGAGACCACAATCCCGCTCAAATTCAAAACTAATGAAACTAATAAGTATACCATCAAAAGAAGGTACAGAAACGAAAGATTGCATAATTAAAATGTCAGAAGAAGATGAAAATGAAACGATCGTAACGGTCGAAAACGAAATCAAACAAGAAAAAAAGTAGGGTATCGATTACCACCCCCTCCCACCCAGAAGAAGAAAAAAACAAAAAAAAAAATCAATCGTTTGTTTCAGAACGTCATCGATTTCCATACAATCACCGCCATCTTTAAATGACGTAATACCAACGGTGGTATCAATCGAAAGTCCGTTGAAAGATGTTAAAAAATTCGAACCCGTCGCCGCCATAATTCGTCAAATGTCGATCAAATCTATTACTACTTCGCCGGTTCAAAAATCACCGCCGACGGATGAAATGACACCGCCGACACCGCCGATTCCCATAATTAAAAAACCGGAAATGAAAACTGATGAAAATGAGGAAAACAACAAGTTTACAAGTCTCGATATTAAGGGCAGTAGGTCACCGCTCGCTGATTCATCACGCGGACGATCCAAAGTCACTGGAGAAATCATTTCCGGTTGGCTTTAAAAAAAATTATTATTAGCGAAAGCCCTCTCTATTTTTTTGTTTAATTAATAATAATAATAATAATAATAATAATAATAATAATAATAGTAATAATAATAATAATAATAGTAATAATAATAATAATAAAATTATTTTTTTTATTCTAATTCAGGGTCGAAAAAAAAATGAAACGAGTGGGAAAATTTGCAATGTTAGTAAATTGAGACACAGACAGACATTTTTTTTTTTTTTGCGTATGAAATATGAAGTGTTTGACAATAAAATTTTCTAGACCAAACAAATAAACAAACAAACAAACAACCGTACAAACAAATTCTAAAAATAGAATTTTTTTTATAAATAATTTCGAAATTTTTTTTTTTTTTTTTAAATTATTTAACGAACGGGATGAGTAAAAGGTTTGCAATACAATAAATAAATAATTTGACCGCCGCCATTTTGTTTTATTTATTTACCGTTAACGGATGCCGAATCAGCATCATTGACGACATTAATAATAATTTATTATATAGATCATCGCTCTTAAATTTTTTTTTTTTTACAATGTTTAGCCTGTCGTAGGTGCAAAGTGCAATATTGATAATAAAAAAGAAGATTTTTTTTTTTTTTTATAACGGCCCATTTTTTAAAAATAAATATTTTATCTATTGTTTTGACGGATTCTTGTTAAATTGTTTTGATATATATATACAAACACGTCGGAAGTTCTTTCCAGAACGTTGTTCTTTTGAAAAAAATTTTTTTTTCCTCCCAAATAAGAAAATTTCTGTCGGTTTTTCCTTTCCTCTCCATAGAAGTTTAACCAGACGCCATTTTTGTTTTTTTCTTTTCAAACGTACGACGACCGGAGGGTTTTCTTTATTTACTACCTGTACGATATTTGTCGGATTTTAAAAAATTTGATGACGTCATCAATCAATCGATAACGATTGGAAGAAAAGAATTTGTTTTTATTGTATAAATAAAATATTAGAATTAAAATGATACGTAACGTGTGAAAGGAAGAGTTTTGATAAAAAAAAAAAAAAAATTTTATTAACTTATGGTTAGAAAATAAATCAGTCGTCTTTGAATCGTTGTGCAGTTCTCTGTATAGAAAATTCAAAGTGTCTCCACTTTTTTTTTCTTTTTTTTTTTTTTTAAAAAAAGTGTAATAATAATAATAATAATAAAAGGAAAAAAGGAAAATTTTATATTTTTCATGTGGATAATTTCAATTTGTTTTCATGGTAATTTTCTTTTTTTTGATTTTATTTTATTTTCGCAAATTTTTTTTACACTCTTCTCTTTTCGTTTTTTTTTTTTTTGCGGTCTCCCCAATTAAATTTATTTTTTTTTAACGTGGTTTAATGAAAGGGGAATTATTTTTCAAACGTGTGCGGGGGGAGGGAGAAAAAAGGGAGACAAGAAAATTCGATTCAATTTTATTTAATTATTAATTGTTAAGGTTATCAACGTAAAAACTAACCGAATAAATTTAGATACGCGTATAAGCCAAGGTTTTAACGTATATAAAACCATCGGAAATTCCTCGTTTTATTATCATCATTATCATCATCATTATTATTACTATTAAAACCCGAAATTTTTCCGGCGAAATAAAAAAAATTTAAAACGTGGGGAGAGATTTTTTTTCTTTTTTATTTTTCTACATTAAATTTTATAACATTAATAAAAACCGGTAGTTTAAAGGTTTATGCCAAATAATAATAATAATAATAATAATTATAATTATAATAATAATAATAGTAATAATAATAATAATGATGATGATGATGAGATTTCAAAGAGTTTTATGGGGAAAAAAGAAAAATTTATTCATTTTTATTTTTAAACTTTTTTTTTTTTTAAATAAAAGTCCGAATCGAATTTAAAAAAAGGTACGAAAAATGGGGAGATGAGGGGGGTGAATGGGGAGGAGAATAAGGGAAGAAGCGGGAGGAAAAAGGGGGGAGAAGGGGGGAACAAGAGAAAATTTTAAAAAAAAATTAATAAATAAAATGTATTCGAACGAGAATTTTTTTATTTTTAATTTATTATTAGACAATTTTTTTAACGACAGCAAATTTAAACCGACAGCAAATCATATTATTATTATTATTATTATTATTATTATTATTACGACATTTATACAATTAATGTAAAACAGAAAAATATATAAAAATTAAATATTTATATTTATACTAAATTTTTATTCGTCGAACGATTTTGATTTTATTTATTTATTAGTTAAATAAATTTTTATTACGTAATTTTTATGACGTCACGAAATAAATTTTTTTGTTTCTTTAATTTTATTATCTTTAATTTTGCTGTCGTTTAAAACAAAAAAAAATTTATTTAAATAAAATACCGACAGGATTATTATTATTCGCGTAATTCAATCCTTTGTACCGCCATTTTTTATAAACCTCGTAAAATTTTTTTTTTACTTTAACGATTATTTAACGCGATTAAATTTCAATATGAAACAACCAAAACAACAACAACAACAACAATAATAATAAATAAATAAATAACATTGATTTGTAAACAAATTAACGATCGATAGCAAATGATCGAACTTTCTGGAAATTATAAACAATCGTCTCAACATTAACAAACAACCAAACAAATTCTCAAAAGGTTTTTCGATTAAATTAAAATTTTATGTATTTAATAATAAATCGATTGTTGTTTGTTTTCAATTAACAAAATTTCTTTTTTTTTTTGTTAAAACTTGTTTAAAATTTTATTGTGTGATATTTCGGGGGGCGGAGGGGGAAGGGAGTGGGGGCCTTTTTCAAAACAATCGAGAGGAAAAAAAATTTTGTTTTAAATTGAAATTAAAAATTTTTGTTTTTTTTTTTTTTTTTTTTTTTTGTGTTAAATATGGACGACTTAAATTCTTTTAATGAAAAAAAAAAAATTTGTACTTCGAACTCAGACATGAAAAATGTTAATAATAATAAAATATTTATCGATAATTATCGATATATCGAAACGTAGGCAATCGAAAACAATGGTGACGGTGAAAACCTGGTTTACTTTTTTTACTCAACCCAACCCAATTTTAATTTTTTTTTTCGCGAATTATTATTTTATTATTATTATTATTATTATTATTATTATCATTATTATTAATAGTTTATATCGTAGGTAAATGTTATCGATTATTATTAATTTGCGGGTATCGATCGTTTGATGTTCGATTTATAAAAAAAAAAAAATTATGTACAAAATGAATTAGAAAAAAATCACGTAAGTTTTTTTTTTTTTTTTGTTTTTATTTTTAATTTTTTTCGGTTAAACCTAAGGTTCGGGATCGTTTCAGGTATGGGAAATAAATTTCTTATCAGTGATAAAATGATTGTAGATTTTAAAATGTTTTGTTTTAATTACAAAAATTATTTTTACGTGTTTGTCTGAAGTCAACGTTTTTGTTTTAGTAGCATGCAAGTCAAAACATCAACAGTCGCGAGGGTGCTAATCGCATTGTACCTAACGACAGAAACATTATGTCATTACATACCTGATGATAATAAAATAAAAGAAACGAATAAAAAAAATGAAACGAACTCGCAAAGGGATAAAATTCAAATATGTGGAAACGCATTGACGACCATGATAGTTGAAGCATGCGATGGTATCGTGGGATCTCCTGATTTAGGTACGTACCATTATTTTACACACACACACAGCCAATTTATATCCTTTTTAAACAAAAAAATTATGTTTTTTTTCAGGTCATGTAAGTAGAGGAAGTGTACAAGCAAGAATAACAGAAGACTGTTGCGATCGAGAATGTCCTTTAGATTATCTACAAAATTTTTGTGGACACACTCCATTGTTCACGAGCAAGTAAGTTTATTGATTACTTTTAAAAATTTTCCGACATTTTCCATCGAGGGTTAGATTTTCTTTTTTTGAAAAAATTACGACAGAATTGTTTTATCATTCAGGTTAAGCATGTTGAAAACGTGAACAAGAACCTTGAACCACGGAGCTGTTAAAATTTGCCAGGCTAGCTAGCCAGCCATGCCATCAGGCTATTATTCCTCAGCATTTCTCACGATAACCCATTGTCATTTGTCGTTAATAATAATAATAATAAATAAAATGACAATAAATTTATTTTTTGCTGATTTTAGAAAGACGGTCCGTGGAAGACTTTTAAATAAATTAAATACTAGAAATCGTATAGCTAAAGGTGAAAATGGTAACGATGGAGGAAAAAATGATAAGAAAAATACACAAATTGAGGTTAGAAATAATCAAATTGATTATAGAAAATTAATGGATGTTGGGAATAACATATTGGAATCTTCTTACGAAAGATATAAAAAAAAAGCTCATATTTTTGGGTATACATTGATAAAAAAAAATTTAAATCCTTGGGTTTGTATGCATTTTATGCTTATTAATTATATTTTTTAAATTTCTATGTTGTCAAAGTCTCAACTAACAAGGATTTAATTTGGGTTCATTTATTAACCTGATGATGATGATGATGATGGCAATGGCGATGGTGGTGGTGATGGTGATGGTGATGGTGGTTGATATACGTCAAACAAACAAGGAAAAAACTTATAATCTCACAACTATTATTATTTAAAACAAAATTCAGCAAAATATTTATCAAATGATAACTCATTGTCCTTTTAACATTCATTTTATGTTGACAACAGTGAGAGTAATTTAAAATTACCCAAACATTTGATGACGTTAGGTCTGCAATTCAATTTTTTTTTTATTAATATGAGGCTTTTTGATAAATAATAACCTTAGATTTTATTTTTAACATATAGTAATATTTTTTTTTTCATTCGACGACTTATTATTAAATAAATTTATCGATTTTTAAAACCCTTTTATTAACCCTGAATTTTTTTCAAAATGATTCCCTGTAAAAAATTAACTTGTAAAAATGTAACCAAAATAATAATAAACTAACAAAAATATATATTATTATTAATTTATGGAATCTATTAACTTAATAATTTATTATCCTTTAATTAATTAACATCTTAATAATAATAATATATTAATTGTATTTTTGTAAATTGCTTATAATTAACAACAGAGCATTAATTTTTTTTTTTTTAATGAAAAGTTATTAATTGTAAATTTAAAGGAATACAAATGTACATAATTTATGTATGAGTGTTGTTAATATTTAAAAAAAAAAAAAAAAAAAAAAAAGAAAATTTAATCATTGTAATTACAGAAACAAAATAAAATCAATAAAACGTGGCCATCTCTACAAATAGGAACGATATCACCAGAAATAGATAAATTTGGAGGGCAACCAATTGTCATGATTAAAAAAAATAAACATTCTTCTTGAAATTTTTCTATCAAATGAGAGAGAAAACAATGTTTTGTTTTGAGAGAGAGAAAGAGAGAGAAAAGAAAATTTATAAGACTGCTCATGATTGTAAAAATATATTAAGGGATGAATAAATTTATTTTAAAAAAAAGAATTATTTTGGTGTAAGATAGCCATTTATATATGTAGGTGACTTAATTTTTTTAGTAAAAAATTTAAATGAAAACCGAATTTAATAAATTATCATACAATTTATACAATTATGACTGATTTTCGGAGTTAAGTAAACCAAATATATAATATTTAAAAACGTTTAATAAAAGCCAAAATATTTTTTTTTTCAAAACATATATATTGAAGAACTCGTTTAAATTTTTAGATAAAATGGCGTACCATCAATCGATCAGGATTGATTATTATTTGGTTTACTTTTAAAACCGAAATTATTTGTAGAGATCTCAAAAATTATGCGTTTTTTTTTTTTTTTTTACATACTAGATAGATTATTTTGATTTTATGTTTTTTTTTGTTTTCGTGTTATAAATTTTTTAATGTCAACTCGTTCGTTCGTTCGTTAGTTAACTCATCCTTTTTATTATTATTATTTCTTGCCAATGTAATTTTAAAATAAATTAAATTAAATTTTATAATAAAAAAAAATCTTTTTAAAATGACTGAAAACAACAGAAAAAGAAAAATCTAAGAGATTAATAATAATGTTTTACGTTAGCTTTTATAAAAAATAAACGTTGTTTATTAAAAATATTTATTTTTTTGTTTATTCAATATGGCTTCCATTTTGATTTTTTTTTTTTTTTTGATTTTTTAAAATTTCTAAAGAATTATTATTATTACTTACGTTTAATAAATATATTTTTCTTTAATTCATCTTTTTAATAATAACAAATAAAGTAAAAAAGATTATTTATTAAGAATTTTAAAAGATGATTTCGATAAGTTGAGTCTATTGTTATCTTGTGTGCATTTCAAAAATATATTGGCGCGCGAACGTCCATATATATATTAAAACGTGGAAGGAGATCGGATACGTCCACGTCTCTTTGACTTAAGGTGTTTTTGATCGCAAAGTATTTGGGATGTGCCAAGCTTATTTTAATTTTTCATACAAGTTTAGAAATAAATTTATCAATATCTAGAATTTAGCCCTGTAAGTAAAAATTATTTTCTTCAATTGCTTTGCTTTTCTAAATTTTTTAAGGGATTTTTCTCGTTAGATTTTGTGTGTCGGCGTTTATTGTTTGGCTTCGTTTCTCATCCGCTTCGATACAGCGGCATGCAATTGCATATATATATTTTGCTGCAAATTTTAAATATAAAATTATTTTCCATGGGTTATTACATATATATTTATTGGATATCATCATAATGTTAAAATTTTTAAGGTTATCCTAAGAAAAAATTGTGCCTTCGTATTTTTTTTTTCCCTTTTTTTTTTTTTTTTTTTTTTAATGGAAGCCATGAAGACGCTATGTGTAAGCCTTTTTGTTAAGGTCATCATTACAGATTTAGTATTTAAAATTTTTAACGGCTTCAATTTTTTACTTGATTATTTGGAAAATTTGTAGGTGTGAGAATGTGTGTGTGTCTTTTTATTTTTGGTTTTACCTTTTATTTTGTTTTTAACGGTAATAAAAATGTCTTTTTAATATATATATATATATATATCGTGGGATCGATTAATTGTGTAATGATTGGTAATTTTTATAATTGTGTGATTTATTTTTAATTATAAAATATTTTAAAGTAACTAATATTAAAAAATTGTTGAATTTTTAAAAAAAAGGTGTATAATCTGTTAATTTTTCGTTCATTAAATTTTTAATTATGTTTGCTTTTCTAATTAATTTAGCTAATATGTGTGTATAGTTTGGAATTTTCTTTGAAATAAGTGATTTTGTTTGTTTGCTTGGTGTGTTTTAAGTACTAACAGGAACAAAAAGTTTATATTTGAGAAAATACAGACCATAATTTATCTACCAAGAGTTTATATCACATCAGTCGGTTTTAAAATTTTTGTTAATTTCTTTGAAATAAATCTGAAGCCATGTGTAAATTTGCTAGATGAATTACTTTAATTTTTTATTTTTTGTTACATGTTGCCTTACTTAGACATTTCACAGTAAAATTTTATTTTGATTTTAAGTAATAATTTTTTGTAATTTTTACTTTGCTCAATTTCCTGTGGATGTCTTTTAAATCTTCATGTGTATACACTCATATCGATTTAGTTAAAC